AACAATTGCTTTGCCTCAAATAATTTCAAATGAGAAAAATATTTTGCTCATACTTAAATTCAACGACTCCACACATTATGTCTCTATTCACAAGGATTTTCCATAGCATGTTCCAATCAATCGGTTAATTCAGCTTAAATTGGTGATGAGATGAAATCAGCTTAAAAATATATCATAACAAGTGTAATTAAACGGAGGGCTTAAAAATATTAAAACTTTAAGCAAAAAAATACGTGTTCAGACAACGAAACAAATACAAAACGAGTTGTTGCAAGCTAAACCACAACGATATCGATTGGAAGAGAAATTTTAATCATGTGTACATAAATCCACAAATAGATAGGTATATTTTTTACATCCTGAGTATATGTTTATTTGTCACAAAATTCGGGGAATAATGGCGAAACGTCGAGCAGCCCAATCTGGCCAAATTTCAGAATACCAGGCATGTGTCAGGCCGGCCGAAACGAGCTGGTTAGCCCAAACAAAACAGACGACGTCCAAAAAGGGCGTCCTTAAGAAGTGAGTGGGATCAGCAGCCGTCGCGACCAAAAAAATAAGAATGAGGGTATAGATGGCCAATTCAAGTGTGTAGTGAGGACAGGTGACAAGTCGGAAGAGAGGGCCACATGGAACTCGATAATCTTCTGCCTTCTTAGCAGAGAGGGCTGGCGGAAAGAGTGATGCATGGCATAAAAATTATCGAAGAAAGAATTAAAAACATGCAAAACAAGAATGTCAAAATAAAGAAGCATCGTATTTTAAATGTTATTATTAAGTATTATAGGCTACCATACATAAAACATTCCATATAAAGATAATATTGTATATTTGTGTAAGAAGGTTAAGAAATCATCAAATATTTTTAGCTATACAAACGTATTGACTTCTAAAGGAAATAGTATCATTAAAAATATCCTTAAATATTGTTTTTTTGTGTGATATACTTAGTCTTAACTTAAGTGAATAATTGAGATCCTTACAAATGGAAACAATCGAAAAAATCAGCAAGGAAACTGTGATTGATAAACCGGTGTATTCCAGAATCACCAGTTGTTCTGGCAACCCATTACCTCGGTTAATGCACAAATCCTTGCTTTCCTGACGGTCTGGTGAACGCAGCGCTGACAAGGATAGAGCAACCAAGTACTGCAATATCTGTAGGACCAGAAAAGTAGAAAAAGCCAACACAATGCAGCTGATCCGCCATATACTCATCATCTGCGTAGTAGACGATCCTGGGAAGAAGGTAGTTGTAATATAAAAAGATACAAAGCATTTAAGATTCTCAATAAAGGAGTCACAAAAATGGGATAAATTAAGGGATGGATAAATAAATTAAAAACGGCATGCAAATGAATAATGTACTTAATTAGAGGAGCACAACGTTCAGATGTATATATATAAAAAAGAAAAGTGACTTTTGCCTACCATTCCTATATTGTTTAAAAGTCTACATTATTAAACAATAATGATGGGCATCATTTATCAAAGTACTGTCCATCAGCACAATGGTGGCCCGATCCGTTGGTCTGGGAATGTACTATGAAAGGAAAACTCTGTTCGTAAGTATTGTATGCAAGAGGCGCGCCAAGAGACAAAAGAGTGTCCAAGAGTGAAAGTCAGGTGTAGTCAAGTTGCAACGTTTAATGTATAAATGCTGATTGAGTTGTATAAGTCATGAGAATAAGAGCGGATGGGCGAAAACTCGATTTTTAAAGTGATAGTGGTCTATAAATATGGGACCTGCCAAATCGAGTTTATTAGAAAGCATGATTTTATACGGCAGACTATTTTGGAGCGACTTCCACTCTGTATGAAAGTACGAGATGAAAGGGTTTGTAGACCAATCTCACCTGAAGATTATATCGGATTCTCCTTAACCTATTTTTGTTTGCAAAAACTGACACGTTCAAGCTGACTCAGCTCCCGAGATAAACTCGTCCAGTTCGAGTGAAAACGTACTGAGTTTTCAAGTGTCAGGGGCCAGGCCGTTTACAGCTGGAAATCACTGTTATGACAACTTTAATCCTGCACAGTAAGGCTAGCCTAATCTAGCCCACGTAACATGTTTATGCACAAAATGAAGTTTAATGGGTACAAAACGATTTACTAAGTCTAGAATTACGTTTCCAGGTATGTGTCTATGTGTATGTGCGTGTCCTGGACTATGAGTGATAGCTCCGACTAATTACAATAGAGGCCACATGCTCACGTCATGAAGGATTTAATGGCCCTCTGATTCACATCAATATGAATCTCACCAGTGAGGTTGCGTAATAATGGAGGCCTGCCTAGCTCATTTGATAAAATTAATGTGCTAAATCATGAGAAACCAAAGTGACGGTCAAGTTGGGGTACCGTCTGGAGGAAAAGCAGCTTTTGGAGCAGATTCCAAAGTGAAATGTGATGAAAAGCAGGCTTTCTATTTAACCCAACAGGGCGAAATAAAGCACAAGTGCCTAAAAACAATCTCATATATAGGTGCAAGTGACAGGCCCCAAATCGTTTGTTCTAGGCTAGAAACTAAAAGAATTTCTATATTTAAAAAAGAGCATGCAATTGCAAAGAGTAGAAATTGCAGACATCGATGCAACAGGAAATATGAAATCGTGGTTGAGTACGACGAGACTTAGTAGGTGGCAAGTTCAATACGCAAGAGTAATGAACATGCTCGATGAGGCTATCATACACACTCTATCAGAAATAGAGGCCTGATCATATGGAAGAGGGATTAGGTATGGCGGACGAGACTAAATAAATGCAGATATTTTTGTTTGTAAGAAGGTCTTTCAGAGCAATAGTAGATTTTGACTAAGAACTGTGTTCACCCTGTTCTGTTTGAAATAATGAAGGACTAGTAGCTGAATTTTCCCAAGGTTTCCAATGAATTTCGTAAAGCCTTGCTTCCCAGAAGGTATACCTATTCAGAGTGAACTGCAGGTATGACCTCACCAGCATATAGTCTTGAGGAATTTAACACTACTCCACACTGCCGCGAATGCACTTAGGTCACAGGGCAAAAGTACATTTTAAGGAGGGCCAGACCCTTCCTATTTCACATTTTTGTAGTGTGATTGACGATGAAGCAAAGTTATACCTGCTATATGCATATATAGTATTAAAATGGTATTATAATTTTTTACAGAATTATGGTAGTAGCATTTTCCTTTTAATATGAAGTTGTATGATAACAAAGAATAAGATTGATGAGACCCCGAGATTAAAAACTTGTTAGCAATTTCGATCTCTTTAACCCTTCCGTTTATTCTTTTTTTCATGTATATTCGATTGTTGAGTAAAATGTATATATAAGGTCTACAATGTTTACCTTTCCTTCGAAGAGACAATCTCATTTCCAATCATAAAACAGAAAATGTTTCCAGCAAACACAAAATATAAGAGCATTGTGGCATTATTACAAGAAAACTAAATTAGCTGTCTCTGGGAGACTAATTTATTATTTAACGGGAAAATAATGGTAATTAAAACTAGTTTTGATAAGTTCCGAGAAAAAATGATAGAACTTGTCTGACAGTCTAATAAACAAATCCTTCCAAGGATGAAAAAATGAGACTTTTATTAGTCAGTACCGAAGCATTTCACAATCAACTTAGTGTATCCTATCGTACACATAAAGTAAATAAGCACATTAAATTCCCCTACACAACCCAAACCATAAAACTTGTCAAAATTCAATATCAGAGACTGGGAATACGTTTCACAAAAGTTTTTATTTTATCCCAACACAGTGGTCAGGTTGCTAAAAGCGAATATAATCAGCACTAATGTATCAAAATATAAGGAAAAGCAACTATTCAACCGTTGGTAAACAAAGGTCATAGCTTCCGGGAGCCAAGTACCATATCCAAATCCACTTATATGTAGGAAAAGGCCTGATGAACATGGTTTACCTGTTAATAAACTCTAAAGAAGAAAGTAAACGAGTACGCCCTAAAACAGCAGCCAAACTAAAAATGTCCGATAGCTCTAATATTGCCTCAGTAAGATTAGGAATGCGGGGGCCTCCAATTCTCTGCTTATCATTCTGGTAGCCTTAATAAATCCTCCATACAAATTCTATGAAATAAACTGATAAACCATGAAGATAAACTGCTAACTCCATTTAAATTCAATTAAAGTTTTTTTTTGTAAAATTCCTTCCAAAATCGTATAGTCAAGTGAAGAGAAACAATAGCATATGTAATTTTATTAATTCGATTCATAATGACTGGTGGAAATAGACTGATGAAAATGCATGGCCAGTATTCGCAAAATGGTAATTGCGTCAAAAACAATCCGTGACGATAAATGACTTTTTAAATGCAAGATATTGTAGTATTATTATTGAGTAAGTTTTGGAACCACGTTTAGATCTTAACTAACACCTTTAATCACCCTAAGCTGACGATGTGGTGACGATGTGGGAAAATTTAACTATCAGTCCCCTATCATGTTATGCGACCTAGGTTAATTATAACTCTTATTCAAGAGCTTATAATGACCTGCCTCTACTAGCTTCTACTAAAATGGTTACTTTAGTTAATTTACATGCGCAGCTATTTCCTAATACTCACTTTACACAAAGGCTATCCGCGAATACCTCTCATCCAGGCTACTCATTAGCGTTGTTCAGGCAAACTTTGCCAACCTTCCGTGCATAACATCTGACCTATCAGACCAGCATAAGCCAATACTCGAGTCCCACATGAAAGTATTTATGAAGAAGTCTTCACTAGGACAAACCTCTATGAACTTGACTATTTTTTGGAGACCGTATTTTATTTTCGCATCACGTTTTCGAAAGTGCTTATGTTTCCCTAAGCTTATTTACGTTTAACCGATATTCTGACCTTATATGCAAGCCCTCGAGACATCGGCCTCTCTTCGCTGACGGACTGGAACCTCACAGTACGCTCCATAATGCTAAAGTCAGATACATAAAACTGGTGACCTTTGCGT